GGATCCCTGAAAGTGGTTCGTGCTGGCTCCATCTGATTACCAGTTTCGCTGATGGATTCTTAGACCCCTTCTGAGAGCTGCGCCGCTTGGTCTTCGTCATCGTTCTCTCGCTTTTGCCGATTTGCGATTGTCCACCCTCCTCGAAAACCGCTCTAAGTGTTTCCCAATATCGGCAATAATTGCGCTTTATTTTCGGTTCCTTTTTTTAAACAAATCCTACCTTTCGCCGAGAGTTACACCTGATAGTGCACAAAACACAAAGACACATTCCATCTGCGGATTGCGTATATAATCCAAACATGGAATATCAGTACGAATTGAATTGAAAGCTATCCGAAATATAGAATTTTCGACTATCGTTCGCCCGAGTGAATTTTCTATAACGTAAATATTGAAAAATATTGATTTAGGAAAACACCTTAGAAACTTACGTTAATTAGAAACTTAATGGTCGCGATGTAATGATTGCGACGTAATTGCGAGGATATCTGTAGATAAACACGACGAGCCTAAGCCGCGCATTTGAAACAAATCTGATAACGATTAAGAAGAGAGGAAGAGAGAGGGAAAATGAAATTAAAACTGAAACCGAAGACAAACCTCAAAATGTACTATCGCGCCATACTAACTCAGCTTACGGAAAAAAAATTTTGATACGCTGGCAAAACCAATTATTTTATGGGAATGCAGCTTGCGGTTCATTTAACGCAACGTGGCTACCTGATATTTTATATAAAACTGTCCACCCACCGATGTGTGGAGGGTTGAATCAGTTGCGGTCGCAGTGACCGCATTGGCCACCGACATTTTACCAACAACGTTCACGACTTTTTTCAACTCTCATGTTACGCAAAGGATTCCCGGCATTCCCGTTTGATCATTGATCTATCGTATCCATATTATTACGCGGCAGATATGATTTCTTAATTTACCGATTCCCTTATAATAAATTGAATTTGAATACATGTGGGAACAATGATTATTATTTCAGCACATTCCTTTTTTACAGAAAGAACGAATCTTGAAATACCTAACAATTTAATTAGATACAGATCTGAAAATATAATTATTATCTGTATAATATAATTATTAAAATAATCTGAGAGGGGGTGAAAAAGCCAATGTAAGCCATTACTTCGTGTGTGGCTCTTTTCTTTATTAGTATATTCTTTATTAGCCAATTCAGATGTTTCGATTTTCGATTTGGGTCTTCTTCAATGTATAGATAAAAGTCAATATAAAATTGGAGAGAAAACTTACATTGGCTTTTTCACTCCCTCTCAGATTTATTCTTTGAAGCCTTCACATTATTTACTTCATTATTAAAATAATTATGTGAAAAGATGTAACGAGAGCTTAAATATAACACAACAACAATACTGCAAAAAGCAGACTTGTCACAGACTTGGAAAACCGAAAAAAGTCAAGGAAAAATTTTTCTGGAATTTTGAACTTTGCTCACGATTTCCTTAAACTATTCCTATCCTGGATAATTGTTATAATTTTTTAATATTATCTGATGTTTATAGTGAAATACGTTCAAAACTTACACACTTTAAACGATTTTAATAAAATAATTAAAATTCATATTTTATACAGTATTTTTATTTGATCGCCCTTTTTCGTAATTGCATTTTTTTTTTCCAATACTAATTTATTTTTTGTTGGCTTGAATTTGCACCAAAAATTTTAATATGCTACTAACTTTTTTTGCATTGTTTTTAATATTTAGGCTAGCTGCTTTTCTACAATTCTTGACTTTAAATGTGTTAAAATTTACATATTTTATATTATATATTTTATATCATATTTTCCATTTTCATCTGGAAAACCTAAAAAAATCAAGGAATTTTAAAATTCATTTTCTATGGCAACTTTGAAAAAGTTTTTTATATTTTAGCAATCAGCTTGTTATATTTTGACAGTCCAACAAAATTACTTTTAAATCTGTATTTAACTAAATTTTCAGCAAATTTGTTCTACTAATTTGTTCTTATTCCCATGATATAAGAATATAAGGTATTCTATTCCCAAGAATGCATAATTGTCTGGAGCATGGCAACTGCTCTTTGATCAATCAAAATATTAACCTCAAATTGTAAAAAGGTATATAATTGCTATCAAGTGCATTCAACTATCTTTGGGACAATATAATTGGTTATTTCAATTTAATCTGTCGCCATTATGCGCAGAAATACTTCATATTCTTATAGCATGGTTTTTTCCGTATTTCTCCGAAAAGACCGTTTCTCCGAGATTTCATATATTTTTGCGTTAAAAATAAAATAACCTAACATATTTTTGCATCAGAAATAAAATGATTTATTAGACGAGTATTGAAGTATCAATATTTTATTTGCTTTTAAAATACACTTTTCAACAAGCTCAAGCCTGGAAATGCCAAAAGAGAATGGATCGACTTAATCTTGCACGAAGTTAAATTATCATCACATATTTCCTCTTTATTTTTCTAACATTATTTGATTGACGCTTAAATTGAGTTAAACTTGAATCGGAACGCTTATATGATTGCGATAAAAGGCGATTAAAGATGCCGCTGTCAATTAATGAATGAAAGCTTAATCGCGCTATATATAAACCGCGAACGGAAGGAATTACTGGAGATTTCTTCCCTGTGGCGTATAATCAAATTAAGCGTGACTCTTCGGTTTAAATCCCGTCACTCATTTAAAAAGTAATCTTTAGTTTCACTGAAGATTGTCTCCGTTAACCGTTCTTCATTAGCAAATTGGCCAGCAGAGGTCGGCATTTCCTCATTAAAGATACACCGTGCGGCGTATACCGAAAAGTTTTCGAACTAATTTGCCGTAACTTCCTCTCGTAAAGGCTCTCTCCTTCCTTTATATTAAATAAAAATTTCAGTAATGGCATTCTTGTACAGCGTCCAATTTGCGAAGATTACATTCCTCGCTAAAGGAATCGAAGGAAGTTAACTATCAATAAGCTCGGAGGGACACTTCCTTTAATCGCGCATCTTCATTTCCAATTATTACTTTTATCGGAATTCTTTATCTCGAGACGTTGGATTCACTGTTATTCTACGTCATACTATCAACGCTCCTTTATCTATATTAACACAAGATCGCCGACAATCGGCGCATAAATGGCTTAGCACATCTACGTTTTTATCTCTATTATGTACAAGGCGCAAAGGACGTTAGGTATAAAGGCACATGTTCATTCCGCTGGAGAATTCGCTTACAAACGTTACACAAGAATGACGTTACACAAGATCGCAAACGTGTGCTTCACTCACAGTTTTAACAAGTAACTAATTAACACTACGAGCTCGAGCGTGCTCGAGACGAGGAGAGCCTCGGGTGTGATTGTTAGCGTATCTACTGTTCCGTCCGATGAAAAATCGCGGCCCGCGGATCTTGATTTAGGGATTGATCGATTGTCGCGTCGTTGTTTGCACCCGTTTATTCGCGTGGTGAGAATTCGTTCGCTTTTCCAACGTTTTTTCCGCGCGGGCCGCAACAATATCGCGCATCTCGTACGATGCGCCATTACTAATTGCCGGCAAGCCTGCCGTTGTCACGTATGCGTGTTTGCGTGCATTTCACTCGGGCATCGCAATCGGCGGGCGTGCACAATCGTATTATCGACTACTGATTTCGGAAGGCATCGACTTGCACCGCTCATCAATGCCGTCCACGCGCGAAACGTATCGATTCCTTCCTTCGGTACAGCTTTCGGCGCAAAGCGAATAGCGACACGCGTCATCGCGAAAATTCGATCATTTTTCCCGTTTGAATAATTATTCGGATTATGCATGATCGTTTTCTTAGATTTCTACTTAATAGTAAGTATCTTATTGTATTCTTTACGTTCGAGTTGGATGAAACAGCAATAAATTGTGTAAGTAAGAAATGATTTTGCATGCTAAAATATCTAAAGATTTAGCTAAATACAGATTTGAAAGTATTTAATTTGACTTTGGACCATCAAAATAATTATACAGAAACGATGATGCAAAAAGTTTTAACACTCTAGCAACCAGTTAGAACTTTCTATGTAATTATTTTGATGGTCTTTGATAAAACTATTTCCAGATCTATATCTAAATTTTTAGACACTCCAAATCGTTTTTTTTTTTCGTATAATAGCTTTTTTAATCCATTTACAGTAAAATCTTATTTTCTCTTTTTTATGTTACGTTGCAATAATTATACTCAAGGAATATAATAATGTACAAATATAATTTTTTCTCTTTTGCAGTCACAATCTATATTACTGTTTCGTCCAACGATTCTTAGAATAATATTAACAAGCTAACAGTATCCTCAATCATCTAGTCTTTTATGTGTTTACAATTTGTATTATGTTTACAATGACGCATTAACAATATTTTGGCGATACTGGACTATTTATGTAGGCATATTTAATATATTCAAAGACTTGCTTCTCGACGGAGACCTCGACAAGAAAACGATTAAAGCGCAGTTGAATTTTTTGCATCGAGAGCATTGCTCGTAGTCTTCGTTTAATACGGAAAAAACAGTTTTGCTGAAGTTAGATATAAGTCTGAAAATAATTTGTTGGACCATCAAAATAATAGAATGTTTTAAACATTGGCGATAACGCTGCAAAAAATTTTAACATACTAGTAATCGGTTTAACCAACAGCAACTTTAATTGTTCCGTCAACAAAGAATTTTTAAGTAACAGAACAAATTTTTTATTGTTTCGAATTACATTATATAGAATTAGATTATATAAAAATCCCAAAAATGTTGATATACTCGTCAAAGTTTTAACAACCCCGTCATAAGTTTTTAACCATCATAAAAGTCGGATTATATTGTACTTATTTTCACAACTTTATCTACCAAAATTCACAATCAAAATATCAATGGTCTTTAAAAACTCCAATTATTGGAGTTTAAAGCTACATAATTATTTTGATAGTCCAAACAAAATTACATTCAAATCTGTATGTAGCTCAATTTTTACTTTATCAAAACCATTATTTCCGTGTAGATTGACAAATACATATTGACAAATTCAGCTTACAAAACGTCACTACCCAGTGACAACCACAATGTCTATCAGATAGATTATAGTGCGATCGAAGCGTCCACCGGAGTCGTGTTCGAGTTTGATAATCTATCATGATGCACTTGGTTGATTTTCCCGCAGGTATGTCGGTGGCACATATTGCCCGTGGTAATTCTCCGTGATGGTACTTCCGTCTAACGATCAACTTCCGAGGCTTCTTATCCGTTGACGAGACGGGTAAAAGAAGGATGCCTATCGACAAGAGACGTTCATAAAGCACCGATCGAAAGAAGAGACTGAGGAAGACGCTTTGGCTTTCTCGCAGTCTAGAGCAGGATCTCATCAACGATTAAGAACTGCATCGAAGGTGCAGGACGCTTTTCTGCGTCAGGCAATTCCTCCCGTCAGAAGGGAAGGCTGATCACATCACAGACGGAAGTCGCTTCACCTCTGGTTTCTCTTTTATTGATGCAGCGGTGCTCATCACCATGAACGTATCCATTCCTTCATTCCCTCCTGGAATGGAAGGAATATTCTTTGCCTTCGACGAAGATCGTTTCGCTATTCATTGGACAAAGATTTATCCACCGGTAATTTCCCCAGAACGCTCGTCGCGCGATTCAACGACTCGAGTGTGCTATCATCAACGGTGACCTCGCGATGCTCTTGCGACGACCTTCCGCAGAATTCACGATTGTCACGAATAATCGCGTCGTGTTCTCGCGATCGTCAGATGCTCTCGTCTCCTCATTTCCTTTGAAAGTTCCGCAATCGTGACGGGGCTCGAGCATCCCACGCTAGCTTCTATTGATCGATATGATGGAATAGTTAAGTGACTGCGATTGCTTCCGCATGTTGGAAAAAGATATGAAGATTCGAGTCACAGATTTATTAAAGAGAGAAAATAATTTTCTGCATGTATCCGGAGACTCAAAAATATTTTTTGAGCCGCCGGTAATCTCGCAGTATTTTTACAATTCCTGTATTGGGAGGAAAACACTTTTCTTCTGATAGTGATTTCGTGTTTTCCCCTCTTTCTTTCTTTTCGAGACGAGTATCGCGTTTGCCATTCGTCCGGTTTCTTCATTTCCTACGCACGAATATATTCTCTAGAAGCTCCTTCGTGATCAGTCGATGAGGTCTCGTCGGGCTTTCGGTGGGCGTACCGTAAAGTCGACTGTTGATGGCATAGAGCTTCGGACTGAGCTCGCACCTTACGTTGAACCACCAGTCGCAGACGAAGACCGCCTGGCTGAATTGCGTGCCGTTCGGACAGAGAAACGTTGCTTGTCGACCGTCTATGTCGCAATAATGCCACGCTTGGCATCTCGTCTCTACGTCGGCGAAGAAACCGGGGAAAGACTGGTCGTCGCAGTAGAAATTCGTGTAAGGTACCTTTCCCAGTACTGGATAATCCGTGCCTGGTCGACCTGTAATTGCAATGAATGCCATATATATATATATATATATATATATATTTTTTTTTTTTAATATTAATGAGGATATTTACTGAATTGAAATAATAATTAATATTTTAACCGTGCAGTCTTTATGTTCATTTCATCGTTCTCCTTGATATTATGTTCAATCGTATATTCGAGATCTTAAATAATTTATAGATTATTCCGGCTGTAATTTCAGCACTCACGGATTCCCTTTGTGTGAACCCGCAAACGCATATAAAGTGCCAAGCGATCTGGATGAGTTAGCTACTTAAATGAACGAATGCAAAGGGGTTGAACGAACGCAACTACAGTTCTTTGCCTTTTCTCTATTTCCGTTTTTATCTTTTCGTTTGCAGCCACAACCATTCGAATCTAATCGGAAAATCGTAATTTCTCGTATAGCAGCTTTATCGGACAACGTTGCGATCGGAAACTAAGACGGAATATTTGTTTAAATAAAGTTGAAAGATAAAAGAAAAAGTAAATTAAAATGTAAAAAATATATAGGTTTTTTTTAATATCTCATATTTATATATTTTTGTGCTTGTATTAAAAAAAATGCACTTGAAATAATTTTTATCTATATACGAAAAGCTACTTACCATACATGGAAAGAACTATTTTGCTGAAATATCTAAAAATTTAATTGGATATAGATTTGAAAATAATTCCATTGAATCAAAATAAAATTATACGGAGACTCAAACTGTTGCTAAAATTTTTTGTAACATTATTCATTTTGCTCGAGTTTCTTACATAATTATTTTGATGATTCGACGGAATTATTTTCAGATTTGTATTTATTTAAATTTTAGATATTTTAGTAAAATCGTTCTTTTCATATAAATTTAGTTTTATGAATAATACTTCACGCTAGATGTGAAGATAAAAAACTACATTTTTCTAATTTTGTTAAAATTCTCTATACATTCGAAATTCTTTCCTGAAATCAAAACCGAAATAAATATCACCAAACATAAATAAATAATTTAAGATTACGAAGAAAATGATGTCTCGATTAAAGGAAATGGAATAAAGAATAAACAACTTGAAGCTATTCACGTTGTAGTTGAAACTCCATTTGAAGATACCATTAAAGTAGTCTGAGAAAGTATACTGTTAACTTTACAATGTCCAATTATATCTAATTTGAGTTATTATTAATTATTTCTATAAGTCGCCATTGCTGAATATGTCATTACTTTAGCTAAACCAATGGAATTAAACAATTTAACTTAAGAAAATATTAAATTTGACTCAAATTTAGTTTATTATTTACTGAATACATATGTTAATATTAGTGTGTGAGATCCCGTAAATTCTCGAAACCTGATGCTTGGGATGGGATGGGATTCCGAAAATATTTTGGTTTCCCGAGAATCTACGAGATATCTGGCACTATATACCGAAAACTTTTAATATTGTTTTTCCATCAATCTATAATATCAGTATTTCTAATACTAGATTTTCTCCGAAATATGCTATATTTTTACTTTTCTGTTTTTATCTATGGTAATATTTTTAATTGTCTGCAACAGCCAATTTTTGATTGCTGCAATCAATTAAAAATGCTTTGCCATATTTTACCATCTAATTTTCTGCAGCAGCAAATCTTTTCTTTCAGTGTAAAAGAGACATTTTCAGAAATCCCGAACATTCTCGGATAACCAGAATACTTTCGGGAATCCCGAACATTCTCGGGAATCTCGAAAGTTTCAAAATCTCGTCCCGATCCCGAAAAACATTCCCATTCCCAATCCGATCTTGCACACCTCTAGTTAATATAGACATCGTTTACTTCGAAACTTATCACACAGAAGGGATTGATTTTTTATATTTTTACAGGATTCTTTTTCAAGACTGGCTCAATTTTCACTCTTGAAAAGAATGAGATTCCACTCCAAAGAGTCTAAAGAGTGCATATAAAAGTTAAAAATAACAAAATGTTATTTAACTTAAGAGATTTGGTTACTATTGCTCCTTTGATATCTAACTTTGAATCTTGAGATTCTCCACCTACACCCTCACCGCCACTTTTCTGCCCTCGCCGTCTGTTTTCCTGTTGATTCGAGGCTTGGCGGAAAATGAAATAATTAGATCAGCACGGTGCACGAGCACACCTTTGAAAGGGGTGAATAGCTCGAGAACGAGAATACGTTCGACGCGGTGTTGTCATAGATTCTGCCGAAGTTATAATTACGCGGACCCAACCAGGAACCGGGATGAGGATGAGAGAGAAGGAGGAGAGAGAGGATGAGGACAGGACAGAGGAGGATAGTTTAGCGACGACTACGGAAGCGAGACGACGAGCGTTTATTCCATGCGGGTACGCAGAATCTCTTCCGCTGACGAAACAGATCGGATCGGACGAGCGGCGCAAGGTGTGAATTTCGTATGGATGTCGGTGCGATACGGTCGAGTTTATGCGACCGCGTCGCTAGATGCACGTTCCGTATAGGTGTGTACGTTCCAGGGATGCTGCGCGTACAGACCGGTCCATTCGTCGTCCGTATCGCATCGCATCACGTCGGCATCACGTCGCGTCGGTATTCCTGCAGGCATTCGAAATGAAACCTGGCCAATCCGCTGTTTTCAGCCAACTTCAACGACTTTCCGTCCGAGTGAAATTGAGACGCGAGAACTTCTTGACTCATACGCGAAGCTTAACAATAGAGGTAACGCGTTACCGGACAATAATTATTAGAATGCTAAAAGCATACGGGACATCGGAATTCTTGTAAAGAAATGTTAGTCATACATTTTTTTTTTAAATCCTTATAGAGAAACGAATTAAAGTCTGATTATTTGATAGAACTTTATACTTCTATTTTTTGAAATCACAATCAGTTTTAATTAACTTACTAAGGAACATATAGATGATTTAATCTCGGTGGATGCAAGTAATTCCGTGCACGCGAAATATCGTTTGCTGGGATGTTTAACAAATTTACACATTTTGTCATTAAATATTTGATTAAAATACTTTAATTTGTAAGATTTTAGTTAAAGCATGTTTTTCAGAACATTGACATGAGGATAGTTCCGTTACATTTGCTATGAAAATCTTAACTACTTCACTCTATAGTTTATCTTCTTCCGAGAAACGTCTTCGTCGTTCCGTCTTTGTCACGTTCTCGTGAGCAAGAGTATTTCTGCTTGACGAAACTAAGCTTGTCGCCTGATGAGATTCGAATAGTTGGACAGACAGAGACGCAAAGAGAGAGGGAGAGACCAGAGGGATGGAGTTGCCCAAGAACTGGGAATACAGCGGATTGCTGTATCGTTTAAATAGGGATGCTCGAAACAGCCTTGTAATAGCTAAGAAACTTTATTGCATCACTGAAATTACGGGATGATTACGCATATACTGTAGATGTTGACAGTACTCATAATATCGTGCCATGTAAAACTATTGAAACCGTGGAAACTATTGAAATAGAATTGCTGTCTTTTTTTGTATTAATATTTATTGTTTCAGTTTATCATCCTCTTGATAATAATAGTTATAATATTAATTTGTATCGTGTGATAGGATATTTTTGAGATGAAATAACAGAGACAATAATCAAATTATTTTTTATGAGAGAGATAATAATTGACTAATTGTATCTTTTCTCTCTCTCTCTCTCTCTCGAGCAGGAATTATTTTGTGAAATTTTTTGGCAGTTGGCGATGTAAAACTGTACATTTAGAAAAGATGATACTTTTTTATCTTTACATCTAGGACGTAATCTCTTGCGGAACTTTCATAATAAGTGTTGACCTCATTTTTAATTCTCCTCGCCAATCAGAGAAAAATTCTGATTCGCCACGGTATTTATTATTCCTTGAATATTTCTTGATATTACTTTAAGAGAACCGTGCGAGTTTAACGATTCCATTCTTGCGCGAATTTTACGCGTTGGCACGCACCCAACGTTTCTCCGCGCGACGACGAGACCAGTCTTGTTATCTTTTTCGTTGAGAGATCAGTGTACTCTCCTTTCGTGTGTAATCTTATAAAAGTCTTCTTCTCTTTTGGAAGTAAAACAAGAATCTTTAAAATCAAGGACTCTCGGACGTGTACCGCACTGTCGCGAAGCTATACATCGCCAAACGTCGTTTCCGAGAAGATCCATGGCGGTTTTCTGGCTCCGCGCTTTATTTAACTTTTCCGTGGTTCTTTTTACCCGCATCTCTTTCGGCTGCCTGAACTATTTCTAAACTAAGACCGAATCACGAAAAGAATGGTTTTGCTAAAATATTTAAAAATTAAGTTGTAAGATCTGAAAGTAATTTTGTTGGACTCAAATCAACATAGTATTATGAAGGATGACGTTCAAGATAGTTACTAGAATAGTCAAAACTTTTTGCAACATTATTTATTATGCTTGAATTATAAAGAATTATTTTGATGGTTTAACAAAATTATTTTTAAATCTGTATGTACCTAAATTTTTAGATATACTTCAGCAAAATCTTTTCGTATATCTTTTACAAGAAAATGTTGTTCAACAAAATACTTGAAAATATTTTAGTAGAATATTTTTTCGACTGAGAAAAAATATAATTAATTTTAATAAATATTTAATTCAATGCTGCCAAATAAACATTTACTTACTTAATAAATTTTAATAAATATTTATTCAGTAAAATAAAAAAAAGATTGTTAAATCAAATTAACATTTCTTGTATCAAATAAATATATCTTTATATTTAAAATAATTATTTAGTTGGCACTATTCAACTAAATATTTATTAAAATTGACTATATTTTTTTCCAGTGTTGTTTAAAAGAATACATATAAATCTCTAAACGCACAGTGTATATCTATAAACATCGTATAAACAATATTAATAATTTTGATATTAATAGGAATAGTATAGTTTTTATATATTTTAGGCGATATGCAATCATTGTGTTTTCATACGTATAACGATTATTTCACTTTGTTACTTATTGTACTCCATTTGCTGTTCGGCGTTGCGACCTCCTTTTGCGATTC